GCACACACACACACACACACACACGCACACACACACACACACACACACGCACACACACAATAACACACACACACAATAACACACACACACACAATAACACACACACACACACGCACACACACGCACACCATAATACACACAAATGCCCGCTGCAGGCCACCGGCTCAACTCGCAGTCCGTGGTCATCACCATCACGGACGGAGGCTCGACGCAGCCGGACCAAGAGATCCAGGACGAGGCAACGCGCCTGGAGAACACCGGCGCACTGCTGGTTGCCGTCGGTGTGGGTGCAAGCACCGATGATGAGCTGACGGAGCTTGGCATTCTCTCGCAGTCCCCAAACAGCATCTTTGACCTGGATGCGGCGGAGGAGGCATACAACAACGGCTCCGACACGTTTAACCAACAGGTTTTGCAGCCCGTGTTCAACCCACCGCCAACAACGACGACAACCACAACGACCACGACCACGACCACTACAACCACCACAACCACAACTGTGGTGACGACCACGTTGCCGTTGGAGCCACTCAACGCGTCCATGTTCCACCCGCTCGACGCAATTTTCATCCTGGATGGTTCGGGCAGTGTCACGCAGCCCAACTGGGATCGCCAGGTGGACTTCCTCACCTCCGTTGTCAGCCTGATTCCCGTCTCTCTCGATGACATTCGGTACGCGGCGACATTGAGTCTGTGTGTGCGTGTGTGCATGTGCGCTTGTGCGCGGGTGTGCATGTGTGTGTTTGCGTGTGCATGTGTGTGTGTGCGTGTGTGTGTGTGCGTGTGCGTGTGCGTATGAGAGAAGATTGTGCGTGTGAGAGAGTGTGTTGGCCGAGCAGCATCCGCAAGTAGCACATGTGAGGTCCATTCTTTCGTGTCAATTTCCGCTCACACACTGCCTTCTTCACACCGGGTCCTCTGTTTGCCTGTGTGCTGTCAGGGTCGGCGTGTGTGTGCTGTTGGGCAACGCGCAGACGCTGATTGACCTGAACGGCGCCACCTCCCCCGGCGCTGTCGTTGCCGCAGTCAACGCGTACACGTACGAGAACTTTAACCCGTCTGCCACGGGCGAGGCTCTCAACCAGGTGCACACGTCCATGCTGCTTCAGGTACAGTCGAAGAAAGAGACAGGAAGAGATTTGGCCGGGAAGGGGGGGGGGGCCGCGATGTTGCTCAGTGGTTTGGGCAGGGAGGGTACTTGGCTTGCTTGCACGTTCAGCGAGCATGCGTGGTTCTGCGGTGATGAGTTTCTTTCGTGTGTCATGCGGTGTGGAGGCGCCTACGTGATGCTTGCAAGTCGCGTTCACCCCCTCCCACACACCTTGCCAAGTTGCCATGTCACGACTGAACACCCCCATGTTTCAATCACCAACACTATCATCACCGCCATCACCATTACGATCGTCATCAGGCCAACGGGCGGCGGACGGATGTGCCTGCCGTTGTCGTCGTCATCACGGATGGTGACTCGCAGGAAACCGACGAGTATGTGCAGGAGCAGGCGGACATTGTGCGCTCTGGTGTTGACCGCATGTACAGCATCGGACTCGACACGACCGATCCCGAGCACGCTGCGGAGCAGCTGGTGGTTGCCGGCAGCGCTTCTCGCGTCTACGAGCTGTCCACGCTGGAGGGCCAGCTTGCCTCTGATCAGCCCGCGTTTGAGGAGTCTTTCATTGGGCCTGTCTTCATGGGCACTGCGCAGCCAGAGGCATCGTCATCATCAGCGGTCCCACTTCCGTCGTCCTCGTCCCCAGCGCCGCTCCCATCATCCTCGCGGGCGTCGTCTGCCGCGCTCAGCACATCCGCTATGCTCAGCAGCACCGTGGTGCCAACAAGCTCGATGCCAGCAGCCAGCACCCCACAACCAACGCCAACACCCTCCCCACAGCTGTGCGCGTTTCTTCCCACCGACATGGTGCTTGTGTTGGACGCGAGTGGGTCCGTGGGCCAGTCGCAGTTTGACGATCAGATCCAGGCTGCCATCGGCCTCCTTGAAGGTCTTCCCTTGGGTGGCAGCATCAGGTGTGTGTGAATGTGTTTTGCTTTGCTTGTTTGTGTATTTGCATGCTTGGCTGTGTTGTTTGTGTATTTGCTTGGTTTGTTTTGCTTGTTTGTGTATTTGCTTGCTTGCATGTGTATTTGCTTGCTTGCTTGTTTTTTGTTTTGTTTGTTTGCTGCCGCAAGCGTGCGTGCGTGCGTGGGCGTACCACCACACACGTTCCAGTTGCGTGCATGCATGCATTTCACTTTTTCCCCTCCAACCCCCCTCCCACTAGTCCTTTCGCAAAGCTTTGACGCCTTTCCTCACTCATGTCAACCACCATGCACAAACCACCATAAAACTCTTAGGGTTGCTGGTACTGAGATCAAGTCCTCCCCCGAGGTTGTGCTGACGTACGACCAAGGCTCCAGCTACGACACAGCCGCTGCCACCCTGCAGTCCATTGCGTACGGTGGGAACCAGGGCTCAGCGGTCGTGGGTGCCCTCAACCTCGCAGCGTCCACCTTTGGCTCTGCTGCACGCAACCTCTTTGTTGTGTTCACGGACGGCGACCCTGCGGACGGGTTTGATGAGCTGCTGGCGCTTGTGTCCGACATTCGAAGCACCGGCGACCTTGTGCAAGTGATTGGGCTGAGCGGGCCCGGTGGCACGTTCAACACGACAGCGCTCGCCCTGCTCTCGGATGCCAGCACGCCGTACACCACGCTCCCAGCGCTCTTGCAGCAGCAGCAGGACGGCACCGCGTTCGGCTCCTTTGTGCGGCCACTCCTCTGTATGCTGCCTTCCACCAGCAGCCCCCCCTCGTCCACCCTCCTGCCTTCCTCATCCATCCCGCTCATCTTGTCCTCGACGGTGCAACCATCGGCCTCATCCCTGGTCACCATCACGCCGTCGTCGTCCTTGGCGCTGCCCACACCCTCGCCAACACCGACACCCACGCCAACGCCGCCCTACTGCGACTTCCTTGACTTGGACGTCGCGGTTGTCATTGATGGTTCCGGTTCCGTGCCCCGCGCCCGCTTCGACGAGCTCAAGGCCTTCGCCTCGCAGTTCGTGTCTGAGCTGCCACTGGGCGTTGCAGGCTCAACCACGCGTGTGGGGGTCTCCCTGCTCAAGGGCACACCAAGCACGGTTGCCCCGCTTTCCTCGGACACGGATGCCATTCTCGCTGCCATTGCCAACGAGCCCTACGTTTCCAACCGTCCGTCTGCCGCGGCCTCCGCCCTCGCCTATGTCACAGACACGCTCTTTGGCGCAGCGTACCAAGGGCGCGGCCTGGTGGTCGTTCTCTCGGATGGCGATTCCCAGGAGTCGCTCGAGCAGGTGCGGGCTGAAGCCGAGCGCCTTGCAGCCATTGGCGCCCGCACGGTGGTCGTCGCCTTCCCTCCGCCTGGCGAGGTGGCACTCGACACGGCCAGCCTCTCCTTCTTCGTGCAGTCACTCGCGCGCGATGTGTTTGCGCTGGAGGACTTGCTCGCGTTGCCCCTTCCGGCATACCGAGACGCCTTCCTGCTGCCGACCGTGTGTAACGTCACGCTGCCTGTGTCGTCCACCTCCTCCGTGGCGGTGCTGTCGTCCACGCCGTCCCCCACACCGTCACCCAGGCCCTCATCCATCACCATCGTGCCCTCGTTCACACCAACCACGTCCGTGGTGGCGCCATCGACGACGGTGCTGGTCTCGTCAACCGTTCAGCCGTCTGCCTTCACGTCTGTCGCGTCATCCACGGCGACGCCGACGGTGACGCCCACAGCGAGCCCCACGCCGTCGCCAGAGCCGCCCTTCTGTGCCTTTGATGGCGAGGACGTGGTGTTCATTATCGACGGCTCTGGCAGCGTGCCGCGCATCACCTTCAATCGCTCCATTGACATTGTCGCTGCGGCGGTGACCACGTACGCCCGCAGCAACATCCGCGTTGGCGTCGTTCTTCTCAAGGGCACGCCAGAGATGGTGGTGCCGTTCACGCCCAGCAGCGATACGGACACCGTGCTGGCGGCCCTGCGCTCGCTCGTGTACGTCCCGCGTCGCCCCTCGGCCACCGCGTCCACGCTGCGCTATGTGCGCGAGGCGATGCTCACCGCCGGCAACGGCTACAGGGGTGGCGCCCTGCGCGTGGTCGTGGTGTCCGATGGAGATTCACAGGAGAATCCCAGCGACGTGCGCGAGCAGGCACGCCTCCTTCGCAGCATCGGGCCACCGTCTGTGCTGCAGGCGATTGCGTTCCCACCGCCATCCACGCCAGGCCAGCTGGACACGGACGCCCTGCTGGACATTGTGCAGCGCACAGCCAACATCTTCTCCTTTGAAACGGCGGCGCAGCTGCTGAACATGGACCTGACGCTGTTCCAGCTCAACTTCTTTGAGCCCATCTTCTGCGACTTCCCGCTGCTGCCGTCGCCCTCCGTCTCCTCCAGCACAGTGCTGCCAACGCCGTCGTCGTCACCGGCCATATCTGTGATTGCCTCGTCCTCCTCGCCGGTGCTCACCCCTTCGCCGACACCAACGCCAGTTGCGTCATCACCAGCTGTCAGCAGCACCCCTGCCTTGTCCTCCACACCAGCCGTGTCTTCGACCCCTGCCGTGTCGTCTACACCAACACCGGTTGCGTCATCACCAGCTGTTAGCAGCACCCCTGTTCTGTCATCGACCCCAGCCGTGTCACGCGTGGTGACCTCGTCCACTGTGCTGGCGACGCCGACCCCGTCCTCGTCGTTGGTGGTGTCGTCGTCCACGGTAACGCCAACACCGACGCCAACATCGTCCTCCGTTGCCGTGTCCACGCCTGTTGCATCGTCGTCCTTCAGCAGCCTTGTAGCGACGCCAACCCCATCATCATCATCATCATCATTTGTGCTCGTGTCCACGGCCTCGCCGAGCCCTTCGCTCTTCACGCCTTCGCCCAGCGTTTCTGTGTCTGCCTCTGTATCGGAGGTTGTCAGCAGCACGCCGGCGCTGTCACCGTCACAATCATCATCCGTGTCCGTGACTGTGTCCCCGACCCCATCTGTGGTGAGCTCGCTCGTGGTGTCTACCCCATCCCCAACGCCGAGCGCCATTGTGTCGTCTTCGCCCGTGTTCTCGTCCACTGTGCTGCCATCCTCATCGCTGGTCACCCCCTCCCCGAGTGTGTCACCCATTGCATCGTCTTCGACCGTGGTGCCCACGCCGTCACCGAGCCCGTCGGCGATCGTGTCCTCCACCGTGTCTGCCACTCCCTCTATCAGCAGCAGCGTGGCGCCCTCCTTCATCTCGACCGTGGTGCCAACGCCGACCACAAGCGTTGTGCAGCCGTCATCGTCGACAGCTGTGCCCAGCCCATCCATCTTCACGCCGTCGCCAAGCGCGACTGCTGTGAGCAGCACGCTCGTGGCCACGCCGAGCCCAAGCCCCGTGTCCAGTACGCTGCTGTTCACACCGTCGCCGTCCGTGTCGCTGTTCTCCCCGACACCGAGTGTGGCTGTAAGCAGCAGTATTGCGACGCCCAGCCCGAGCGTGTCGCCCATTTCGCCCACCGTCACCAGCAGCGTGGTGCTCACACCCTCGCCCTCACCGAGCATCAGCACGCCTGTCGTGTCCTCGGTGCTGGTGACGCCATCCCCATCGCCCAGTGTGGTCGTGCAGCCCACCCCAACAGCCTCCCCGAGCCTGTTTACCAGCAGCGTGGCAGCGAGCAGCACCGTCACGGCGTCTGCATCGCCAAGCCCCGTGGTGTCTTCGTCCCCGAGCCCGTCTCCCATCAGCACGAGCGCGAGCACGAGTGTGGTGGCGCCCAGCCCGACCACGGCAGCACCATCGCTTGTGTCCACTTCGACCGTGGCCGCGTCTCCGTCGCCGTCCCTGGTTGCCTCGCCGTCTGTCAGCGTGTCCACGACGTCACCCGTGGCCACCAGTACGAGCGTGGTCACCAGCAGCGTCAGCAGCTCTGCGTCTGTGGTTGCGTCGCCGTCACCTTCTGTGTCGCCATCTCCAACGTCGACCCCTGCTGCGTCGACCACGCCCACCACGCCCGCACCGTCACCGACACCAACGCCCGTGCCTGTGGACCAGCCGCCCCTCATCCTCAACGAGCTGCCCCGCAACCTGGCTGCAACACCCGGCAGAGGCCTGTTTGAGTTTACGGTGCCCGAAGACACGTTTTGGGATGCCGAGGACGGCTTTATTCTCACGTACGTCCTTGTGCCGCTGACCAGCACCTGGACAAACTGGCTGCAGTATGACACCGTGACGCGCATGTTTTCGGGCGTGCCCACAAACGCGGACGTGGGCGCGTACGGCTTCCTGCTGCAAGCGCGCGACTCTGCTGGGCAGTACAGCCCACCGCTCTTCTTCACCATTGGCGTGCCGCGTGATGTGCGCCTCATGCCCGACTTGGTGGTCACGTTGGTGCTGGAAGAGTCGACGCAGCCGCAGGTCTCCGGCCGTCGCCGCCGCCGTCAGGCCGATGTTGATGTCAGCGATGCCAGTGGCGCAAGTGCTGTTGCTGTCACTGGCGCAGGTGCCGTTGAAGAAGGTGCTGCCCACGTGCACCGCGTGGGGCGTGCGACTGCGTGCCCGGCCGGCTCGCTCACGCTGGACCCGCAGGAGCGGGAGGACCTGATCACGGCCCTGGCGCAGTTCTTTGCCGTGGAAGCGAGCGCCATCAACCTGGTGAGCATCACGCCCGTCCCGGAGACGTGCCGTGTTGCCGTGGCCATCAGCGACAACACCGCCAGCGACTGCCGGGCCGTGGAGCGGCGCGAGCAAGAGATCAACAGCGACGAGTTTAGGTTGCGCGCCGTCGTCAACGCGGTGTCGCCCACGCTGACGGTGGTGGACGTGCAGGTTGACGCGGAGCCGTGCCCTGCGGTTGGTTTGCCGACGGCGACAGCCGCGGCGGAGGAGGTGCTGACCAAGACGGTGGTGCCTGCCATTGTGGCGGCTGCGGTGCTGATCATGCTTGGCATCCTGGCCATGTACGCGGCTTCGCCGCCGAGCTCTCAAGGAGAAGCGCGGCGTCAACAAGGAGACGTTCCACCCGCGCTCGCCAATTGTGCTGCCCTCCGACCGCCAGCTTGCGCACAACGAGTTTTCACGCCGTGGGCCCACCACGCTCATCTCGCCGCCCTGGCTCTATGACAAAGGGCCTGAAGACGAGGACAAGGAGCTGTTGCACGGGCCAGACAGCCCAACGTACAAGGAGTTCCTGGCGCAGTCCATGCAGCCGCCCCCCTATCGTGGTCCGCGAGAGGGTGGGGAGTCTGAGACGTACATGTCTGGCGCCGCTGCACCACAGTACCGTCCACCACCCGCATATCCGTATGAGGCAGGCCGCGCCTTTGATTTTAGTGAGTTGTGACTGGGGCGGAAGGTTGGAGGGTGGTGGGTAGTTATGTTGTTGTTGTTGTGGTGTGTGTGTGTGTGTGCTTTGTTGTGTGTTTGTGTGTGTGTGTGTGTGTGTGTGTGTGTGTGTGCTTTGTTGTATGCGTGTGCTTTGTTGTATGCGTGTGCTTGTGTGTGTGTGTGTGTGCTTGTGTGTGTGTGTACGTGAGAGAGAGAGAGTGTGTGTGTGTGTTCGGGACAGACTTTGGCAGACCAGATTTTGTTGTGATTGAGCCTAACTGTTGCTGTGTCCCTTGCTTCGCTCGTTCCGCGGTTCTGCCCTTGTTTTTCTTTCAGGTGCGAGCGCTGGCACCGATGAGAGCGTGGCTGGGATGGAGGCATACACGGGCGAAGGGGTGACAACCATCACGACGACGACAACGACGACCACGCGCTTTGGCATGTTCAAGCCCGCCCCGCCGTACATCGACCCGCCAGATTACGCGTCTGCGCTGCACATGGAGCCCACGGATGGCTCGTATCCGTTTGTGTTCATCAACCGCGACACCATGTACGATGTGCCCGTGCAGCCCGAGCGCGTGCACGACGTGCGCCTGCCCACCACCAGGACGGGCACCACAGGCAGCAGCACGAGTGCCAGCAGCGCAGGCCCAAGCGCCAGCAGCAGCGCGGCCAGCAGCCACCGCCGCCAGTCGCGGAGTGAGGCTGGGCCGCAATTCGACTCTGGCAACACAACATCGCTGCTGGATGAGACGGCGACATACGTTGCCACGCCCACATCTGCATCGCCGCAACGACAGCGCGCTGGCGGGCGCAGATCAGATGCGGGTGAGTTTGGTGACGTGTCGTATGCACAGGCGCAGCCCCGCGCATCAGAGCCAACCTACAACATGGCAGCGGCTCGCCAAAGCGCGGGCTCTGTTGATGCACGCCAGCAACAGCAACAGCAGCAGCAGCAGCAGCAGCACGAGCCCATGTATGATCGCAGTCGACCATCGACGGGAACTGTACCGTCCTCGTCGCTACGGGAGCACACATACGACCGTGGTGTTGGCGGCAGTAGCAGACGCCGACGGGCGGAATTTGACACGCTGGATACCTTTGTTGATGACGACGACGACGACGATGGTGATGATGATGATGAGGAGGGTGATTTTGGAGACGAGCAAGGCGTGTACACGTTCTCGGAGATGGGCGATGAAGACGAAGCACAAGCTGACGATGGCACATACGCGGCGCCACGACCGACGGGGACCTCTGAAACCTATGCCACGCCCGTGAGGCAGCAGGAAGAGCAGCACATTTACGCCAGTGCAGACAACCCGGATGGCTCTCCTCCCCAGTAGCCTTGCGGTAAACGAGGACGAGAGAAGGAGAGGAGAGAGAAGCGTCTGCTCTTTGTCTGTTCGTGGTTGTGCTTGTGAGATTCCACCTGCGTTTTACTGCTGTTTGTTAGTGAGGCGATGAAGAAGAAAGACGCATGCATAGGCTGGTCGTGTGTGCGTGTGTGTGTGTGTGTGTGTGTGTGTGTGTGTGTGTGTGTTTGGAGAGGGGTGTGTGTTTGGAGGGAGATGATGAGGAGAAAGAGTGGAAGGACCGTTCATCTTGTTTTATGTACACAGTTGATATCTGGCCATGTTTCCCATAAACTTTCGCTTGTTGTCCCCCTTGCACAAACAAAAACCAAAACAAAGCAAGCCAAGCAAGCAAGAGAGGCATTTTGCTGTCTTCCTTGCCGCTCCTTGCTCTGTCTTGACCAACAAACAACAACCCCCAGCGCCGTTATGGGGAAGAGTGCTGCTGTCGTGGTGGTTGCGTTGGTGGCGCTGACGGGGGTGTTGAGCACCCTCACGTCAGCACAGTCATCCAGCACTGCGCAACCAGGCACCACAACCAACGACATCACTGAACCCAGCATCACCACGAAGAACGGCGATCTCCTCATCGAATCGCCGGTGCGTGTTTGTGTTTGTGTTTTGTGTTTGTTGTGTTTTATGTTTGTGTTTGTGTTTGTGTTTGTGTTTGTTGTGGCTGCTCGTCTCGGGCTCATCTTGCAGAGAGCAACTGTTGTACCGAGATGTCGGTAGTGTAAGTAGTGTAATGTGAAAGTAGACAAGACGAGAGGTGCTCATCTCACACGCCCTCTTGTCCTTCATTGCACTCACACGCACGGTGGTGCATTGCTCAGGGTGGCATTTGCTTTGGCGTGAATGGCGTTCCTGCCGGTTTCTCCGCTTTCAAAGGCGATCAAGGCCCCGCAGGTGCGTACGTTCCTTGCACACAAGGCAGGAGTTGTTGTTGCGCGTGCGCTGAGATTGTGGACTTACTGTCGTCTGCATACCTGCTGCACTGAGCGAACACACACGCACACGCACACATACACACATACACACACATACACACATACACACATACACACACATACACACACACACACACACACACACACACACACACACACACACACACACACACACACACACAAAACACACTCTACAGGGCCGGAAGGGCCTCGAGGCCCTCAGGGTGACGTTGGCCCACGCGGTGAGCCAGGCGCAGACGGGCGCGACGGGCGCAACGGGCTCGACGGTCGAGATGGACGGGACTTTGACCCGTCCAGCGATTACTTCGACACCTCCATCACCCTGCCCGTGTGGGTGAGCATGCACGTTGGCGCTGCGACATCGGGTGCCTCGCGGCGCATCGTGTCGCCCTCTGGTGGCGCCACCTTGCGCGTGTCTGGCTTTGGCTTTGAGCCCTTCTCCACCCGCCAGCACGACGCAGATAACGCGTGGGACGACAGCCTGATTGTGTGCAGATTCACGGACGACGACGGCACGGCAAAGGAGACCAGCGTCTACTTCACAGAGGCGCAGGGCGTCGCCAACACCCACCTGCCCAATGACCGGTTCACAAACGACCCGAGCACGGCCACGTACCGCCCCATCATCAACGCCAACTGCCTCGTGCCTCCCCTGCCGGAGACCACAAACGCCACCGTGGCCCTCATGTGGAAGGGCACGCCCACGCGCGAGCTCCACTTCCGCGGCATCCCGGGCAACAACGTGCTGGAGGTCCTTGAGTTTGCCACGCACATTGACCACAGCGAGGGCGTGGTGGAGGACAAGACGGCGGTGCCCATTGTGCACGGTTTTGGTTTCACCTCTGACAACACCTACTACTGCCGCTGGGCGCTGGCCAACGACGACGGCGTGTTTGTGGTTGAGCGCGCGTCGTTCCGCTCCTCCACGGAGCTCGCCTGCGACTCCTTCCCCGCGGGGGGCATCGCCGCCAGCTTCGACAGCGACGAGGACGTGCAGGTGACCATCACCGTGTTCTTCTCCGTGCCCGGTGACAGCACGAAGCGGCCCATGGCAGGGCCCCCACCAGGCTCCGTGTGGGCGGATGGTGCGTCGTCCGCCTTCACCTTCCCGTACAAGCGCGGCGCGTGCGGCGACGGCATTCAGAACCAGGGCGAGATTGGCGTGGACTGCGGGTACGCGGCTGGCTGCGGCTACTGCGAGCCAGGGTTTGCGCAGGTGGGCATCAAGGGCGCGTGCGAGCTGACCACGGACTGCGCCACGCGCGACGACACGTTTGTGTCGTGCCGCCAGGGCCAGTGCCTGGCCGCCTTCTCCTGCAAGGAGATTTTGGAGCAGAACCCGGAGGCGGAGTCTGGGCAGTACAAGATCTCGGTCAACAGGGACGTGCTTGACCTTGACGTGATCAACCCGGAGGATGAGCTCGTTGGCGTGTACTGCGAGATGGACTACGACGAGGGTGGGTGGACGCTGTTTGAGATGGTGGGCTCGTCGCAGTCGCCCTCGTCCCCTTTCAACTACATTGGCGACGGCGCCGACGAGGGTGCGTATGTGCCCGGCGGCGACATTGGCGTGCTGTTCGCGGTGAACCAGAACCAGCCCGCGCGCCTGCCAGCCCGCATCATCCGTTCCATCTTCAAGCACTCGGCCGGGTATGTGCAGATGCGGTATGCCAACAACGCCGACGGCTACCAGCTCACGGACGTGTACGGTGTTCCGGAGACTGGCACGCACTTCCTGGACCAGTCGTGCTCGCACAAGCCCGACTTTGACATTGCCAAGGCGATGCGCCCTCGCTCGGGCTCGTCCATGGGCTTCTGCTTCCGGAACGGCGCTGTGAACACGGCGAGCAACTGCGTGTGCGGCGACCGCGTGGATACGACGCAGCAGTTCAACGCGTGTCCGCTTTCTCCCGGAAACCGACGCCGGTACAACTCGTTCCTTCGCGACAAGCTCTGGTGCAGCGGCATGCACCGCAAGTGCTACAGCGTCTCCTCCCACTATGTCCTTGGCGACACGTACTCCTGCAACAAAGGAGGTGCGTCACCCAGTGTAAGGTCGTGGTTGTGGTTGTGGTTGTGGTTTTTTGTGTGTGAGTGTGAGCGTAATTGTGTGAGTGTGTGCGCGTGAGCGTAATTGTGCGAGTGTGTGCGCGTGAGCGTAAGTGTGTGAGTGAGAGCGTGTGTGTGAGTGAGAGCGTGTGTGTGTGATTGTTGAACTGTGTCGTGGAACTGTGTTGTTTCCACATTTGAGCGAGGCAACGTCTCTTTCTGACACAAAAGTTCGTGGCCTTGTATGTGACCATGTGCACGCTGTGTTGGTTGTCACGTTGTGTGTTTCAGGCCAGCGCTCTGTGGAAGGACACATGTGGCGCATGTACAGCGGCAACACGGGCATGCCATGCACCGGATACGGGGCCTACGGCTGCTACGGCTCTGTCTGGATGCGCTAACTCTGTTCGCGCGCGTGAGTGTGGCGGTCGTTCTCTTCTCCTTATTGTGGCGCGGCTTTGGGCCCCTTCTGTTGCGAGAGTGGCCTGCGCTCTTCTGTTACGATTCTGTTTTGTCTCTCTTTGCTCACTCGGTTCAAACCACGCGTACAATCTCACGGTGCGTGGCTGTGCTGCTTTCCCGTCGAAGGAGAGCGAGAGAGCGAGAGCGTGCTCCTGTTGTGTTCTGCTCCAGTCATCTGCATTGTCTTTCGTCGTCTGTTCTTCTGTGCTTTCTCTTCTTGCGTGGTTTTCATAGCCAACTCATGCCGTGGCTGTCGCTCGCGCCTGTTTTTGTCTCATGCGATGAGGCAATGCGTGCTTCTCTCTTTCTCTCTTATATGAAATACATATACCCATGATGCGAAGACGAGCGTGTGGAAGAAGGTGTGTTGCAAGCGCGCTGCTTGCGACAATTATGCACAACGCGCACCAAATTTCCACAATCGATACCCGCAACAACAAGACAGTCGCAACAGCTCCAACCTGCAACACTTGCTTGTCTGCTTTGCTGCCACACAAGAATGCGACTGCCACCGCTGCCGCAGCTGGCGTTTGTGACTGTGCTTGGTGTTGCCACGGCCTGGTACTCCTTTTCGCCCATCCTCAAGGTACGCACACACATGTGTGGGTGTACATGTTTGTTTGGGTGCGTACGTTTGTGTGTGCGTGGTTGCATGCACACTGTGCTCACGTGTGTGTTTGATGTTGCGTGCCGCAACCGCCTTGTTCTTTTTGTCCGCCTCACGTCAAGCCCCACACGCCATGTCCTGAGCAGAAGTGGGAGCAGACGCAGCTGGAGCTGGCAGAGCAACGTGATTTGCAACGCGCACAAGCAACCGTGAACCAGCAGCAGCAGCAGCAGCAACAACAACAACAACAAGAGCAACAGTGAGAAGAAGGGTCAGTGGCGAAAGTTGGTGACTGCAGTCAGTTTGTGGCGGCAGCAGTTAGCACTAGCAGTCGGTGACAGCAGCTTGCGGTGGCAGCAACCACTTGCTCCCCGCGCCCGTTCCATACTCACACTCTCCACCAAACGACCACCCCCCCCCCCCCGGCGCGAAAGCAACACTCGCCTCCGATCAACACGCAACACACCCAAGCAAGCGAGCAGACAGCACAATCAGCACAGCCGTCACACCACCTTGCTCTCATCCACGGCAAACCCGAAGACAACATGGCGGGCCGCACGACAACAGCCACAACAGCCGCGGCCGCTGTGGCTGCGCCGTGGACTGCACTCCTGCACAAGGCATTGAAGAAGAACGGCAGTGTGCCAGCACACCGATACTGTCAGCTGGCAACGATAGGCCTCGATGGTGGGCCTCGCGTGCGCACCATCGTGTACCGTGGCCTGTTTGACGACGAAGCACTGGCATTGGCATCAACACCATCATCATCTTCAACGGCGCCGGCGAGCGGGGCGCGGGATGGTCATGCGCGCGAGAGTGCGGCGCCAGACCTGGTGTTTATCACGGACGCGCGGTCGAGCAAGGCAGCGGAGATTGCAGCGGATGCACGGGCGGAGGTGGCGTGGTACCAGCCGCTGACACGCGAGCAGTTTCGGTTTCGCGGCCGCCTCGTGTTTGCCGACGGCTCCGCCACGTCACCGGACAAGCCGCAGCCCTCACAGCCCTCACAGGTGCAAGCGCTGCGCGCGCGCGTGTGGGCTGGCCTCAGCGATACGATGCGCGCGCAGATGCACTGGCCGGCACCTGGTGCCCCGCGCGATCCAGCAGTACCTGATTCGCGGTGGCGCGAGCCGCCCCAGGGCTTGGACGTATCGTCGCAGTCGCCGCCACCAGACACGTTTGCGGTTGTGCTGCTGCAAGTGGAGCATGTGGACCACCTGTGCCTAAAGAGCAACAGCCGGCGCCTGTACGATCGACGTACAACCCAGAATGGTGATGGTGGTGATGGTGGCGGTGATGGTGATGATGGTGAGGAGAAGACTGTGGTTGGAGACTGGGTGGTAACTGAGGTCAACCCGTAGGTGTGTGTGTGCGTGTGTGTTGTATGTGTGTGTGTGTGTGTGCGTGTGTGTGTGTGTGTGTGTGTGCGTGTGTGTGTGTGTGTGTGTGTGTGTGTGTGTGTGTGTGTGTGTGTGTGTGTGTGTGTGTGTGTGTGTGTGTGTGTGTGTGTGTGTGTGTGTGTGTGTGCTGGCACTTGCGAACGTTGGTGCTCGATCGGCTGTCTTCTCTTTGTTGGGGTTTGTCGCTTGTGAATCATGATCACAACTCTTGTTGGTGGGACAACAGTCCAGGCAATAAACCAAATGTAACTCAAACTTAAAGCAAGTTGGAAGAAAGGGCAAGGGATGGAGGCATCACGGTGGACGCATACGCACTGTCGACGAAAACAGAAGCCGCACGGCACAGCTGTGGCACCCTGAAACACAACCGCACACTCAAACCCTGCGTAACTGAGAAGACAAGAAGAACACACGTGACCACGGCTGCATGTAAAGAGCGAGCAGGAACAAGAAGGAGACGTCTGGCGTGGCAGCTATTATTGGAGGCGCTTCAAGAGGGCGTGCCTGTCCATAACAGGACCATCGTACCTGCAAAGACGCATGAACAACACGACACAGAGAGTTCGGGGAAGGGGGCGCGTGGAGAAGAAGGGGGGGGGGGAGGTGGAAGCAGTGAGCAGAAAAGGGGAGACATAAGGGAGGGTGGGTGTGGCAGGTGGACAATGAGTGGGGATCGGCAAGAAGATAGACAGGCAGTTCGACAAATAGATAGACAGATAGATCGATAGACTGACAGACAGATAGACAGATCGACAGATAGACAGACAGATAGATCGATAGACTGACAGACAGATAGATCGATAGACTGACAGACAGATAGATCGATAGACTGACA